GAATACAAAATTTCATCGCTTAATTTATTTATTTTTCGTTATGGAATAGTTCTAGTTTTTATTTATTTTTCAGCGTTTTTAAAACATGTTGTACGTTAACAATTATACCGACGATGCACCGTATTAAGTTAAGTAATTTTGTTCGTCTTTCGACAACGTATGCATTTAAAGGCGTGTTATCGAAATGCTTACTCGCGATATCTGTGATGGACAAACACACGAAGAAAAAACTTGCTAGAATCTTAAATATTTGATCCAGTTTTCATCCATTTAAACAGAATGGAAACAAGAGGCGAGTAACGTGAAATGAATTTCGAAATTTGCTGGAGAGGAATTTCTTGTTTGTAATTCTTTTTTGAAACGATTAAGCAGGAGGAACGAGGTTAGAAGATTTGATATAGGCAGCATTGAAAGAAATAAAGACCTAAAGTAGGACAACAATCTTTAAGTATCTTTAAAGATGGATTACATTTGAAAATCTTGTTCCTTCTGTAAAACTGTAAAAATTTCTTTCATTTTAAACAAAGAACCAGACAACTAATTCGTCTAAAATTGAAAGACCACTGTCGCTAATCCTTAGTCTGTTAACTGAAAGAGTATAATAGTATATTTATCGAAGGATTGTTAATTTTTAAAATAAAAACTTGTTTTGAATTATAAACGGGAGAGATTCAATTTTTGTTATCGAGGTGAACCCAGTTAACAGGTTAAATTGTACGAATACAATCTTTCACCACCATGTCACGCGTTTTATCGTAGTATTAAATTATACTTTTATTATTGTACAATTTCATTGGGCTGTATTATCTCATCTGTCATATTCACTGAATCTCCTACCCTCTTATTTTCAGTTACTCTGAAGTTCACAAACTTCTCTTAATAAGTAGCCATTTAGAAACATAAAAAGGTATAAAAGTACACGTGTCTGAGTATAAGAAAAAATAGAATTTTACCACGAAGAAGTAAACAAGTTGGTTGATAAATATAGGGAAGATAATGGAACAGAAACAGTGCACACACCGTCAAATACTTATATTTTGTACAAGTGCAATCTATTACTATTACTCGACGATGTACACTCCCGTTCGTAAGTATTAGAACACTTATTGAATGTAAAGCAAACCTAAACAGTCATTGAAAAATTAAGATCCAAAGAAAAAAAAAATATAACAAGTGTAATTATAAGCAGTACATAATTTTTACCGATATGTGATACTAAATTTGGCGAAAAAATTTAATTTACAAAAGTTTGAAGCATGTTACGATTTCAAAACAAATAAAGTTTCCCTTAACACTTGTGTGGAATTTGTCAAGTGACAGGACAAATATAACTGGTTAAACATTATTAATGTTTATTAGACATTCAGCTCAAATTAAATTAAATTTCAGCGCTAATGATATATGTAATAACAAAGGAGAAAAAATTTTGTGACTTGATTTTGGGTTAAATTAACCCAATTTCCGTACAAGGGTTAAGTAAATAAATGTTTCATTCAAAATATTATTCTGCTGTATTAATGAAACTGCGCTTAGTTGCAATTCAAAGTGAAAGTTCTAATTATTTTGTACTTATTTTTCAGAAAAAGAATACAAATTTAAGAAAGTGTTTTTTCGCAAAAGAATCCTCTTTTTCCCCCTGTATAATCACTTCACATAATTTCGACATTCTGGCAATCTATTTTTCAAATGTTTCCAGTTCAATATTGCTCCAAGCTTCTTGTAAATATTTCTACAGATCTATTTTAGACGCTGGGCATTCTTTTTATATTCCTGTCCAATTCATCCCACAAGAGTTCAATCGGATTGTAGTTTCAATTTCAATCTCACGTCGTACTTGTGTAATGCTATTTTAACGTATAAGTACAATATTTATAATAAAATTACCGCATATGTTTGCATGAAGAAGCTTTTGTCCGAATAGTGCTCGAACCTTTTTAACGGCAGTGTACATATTCTTAAAGAGGCAACCATTTTAATTAGAGGATACTAAGTTTTGCTTCAAGAAAATGTAAGAATCAGAAACAAACAAAACTTACGTCTGGATGTTCTTTAACGGGCACATAAACTTTTTCCGTTAGCGTTGTGATGTCTCCATCTGGTTCTGGCAGAACCAATGGTTCCTTTTTGACACCACTGATTTGGAAAAGACTCGCCCGCACTTTCGCGATTTCTGTAACAAAAAAGAAGAATGCGTTTACGTTAATTTTAATTTCGAATTACAGTTTTGAAAAAAAAAAAAAACGTGTTTAATTTTGGATGTATTGTGGATTGTATTGGTTAAAATTACACTTAATTAAATTAACGAACAATGAACAATATCGTTAATCTGGAAAAAAGGAACAAAATTTCATAGATATATATTTGCCACAAATAACATAAATTTAATAAAGTAATATTTTACGTAACATTTATATAAATCAACATAAATAATATATATTTAACTACATTATATAGTTAAACTGCGTTGTTTCTAATTTTACTGTTAGAAGCTATATTTTTAAATTTCCCGCGTATAGCGTTTTCATTTCTTAGTTGTATGTACTTTCTTTTCCTTTCTATACTTCCGGTTGTCTCTCTGTTGTAAACGGTGTAGCTGTTTTAAAGTATAACAAAAGAAAAAAAATTGTAAGTGTATCATATAAACTGTATAAGAGTTTTGTTTCTGAATAAAGTGTTCTGAAATATAAAATCTAAGACTAATATTTACGATTTGAAAAAATGACGAATTCATGAATAATGAAATTAATCAAGAGAAGAAAAAAATTAGTTTTAGTAGCCAATTCTTCTTACTTAAACTCATGATAATTTTTCAATACGTAGAACAGAACCTACATTGCCTAGTGAAGATGTTTTATGCGCTCTTAAAATACGATTACTAAGGACAATGACGTAATAGGAGCATGTTGTACTATGCTGTGTCAACTTATATTAATAACATGTCAATAACACACTGTATACACATGATGTAATAAATAAAACGGAATAAAACGGCGAAAAACTCAACATACGTATTATTCTCCACGAATATCATTTACTAGATTGCCGATTTTTATGAATAGAATTAAAAAAGAAAAAAATATAAGCTACATAAGCAATTGTTTTATTCATTAAATATTATGAGTACTATATTTTGGGTTTATTTATATATTTTTGCTCGTTATGTCTATTCTGTGTATTTTTGTGCCTTTAAATTGTACATAAATGCATAAAAATATGCAGTATAATCATTACATTCAATTATTTTTATAATATTGTATTATTTATAATGAAATTATGAAATTGCATTCTCTTAGTTTAGGGACTTGCAAATATGTTTTCAAATAATAAACAGAATTACAAACGTTTGAAGCATTATATTATGGGTTAACTAATAACAATTAGATTTTTCACATTTTCTTAGAAGTAAACGCACTTTGAATCACTTTAACTCGTCATTGTTCGGAAAAATAAAAACGCAGAACAAATCGAGAAATAAATCGCTTTATTTTGAAGCAACCTTGAATTGTAAAACGTGACAGAGATCACATTTTCATTCCTTCAATGACCTCAAATATAGTTTTACAGTATAATAAACTGAATTTTTTCATAAAGTAAGTACAACTCTTTTCATAGAAAATTATAATATTAAGCAGTATTCTGCTTATAAAGAAATTGCTAAAATTGAAAGAAGAAGTAAATGTCATTTTTTCCGATTTTCTTTATAATGCTAATTTTAATTTTCCAAAGACAGTCAATTATCTGTTAAACTGCTTATTGTTTTAATCACATTTTCTATCTGAAAATTGAACTGATCATACTTTTTTTTTTGTTTCAGTAAAAAGTGATTAATAATTTTTATTTTCGTTAAAGAGTGAAAATCTACATAGATATATATATTATATATTCTGAGAATGAATAAGTCTCCTTCACATACCATTCTTTTCTTGTAGTCTCACAATGTGTATGCACAACTTTGTTTCACAAAAGATAAGAGAACGAATAAAAAAAAGTTATGAATTACCGTAACTAGGTGTACACATTTCTCCCAAAACTTATATAATATTATTATTAATATACATTATACAGATACAAATTGATTTCAATTTCCAAGATTTAATAGTACTTACATTATTAATATTAATTTTTCAGTATTTCAATATCTAAAACAATTTTATTGTACACGCGTCTATTATTTATAAAAGCTGTACGTTAAAACGAAAAATCCTATAGAATATATTTTGATCTCCGAATGGAATTCCTCAAATGTCATGAAGTATCACTAATTGTAAGGCTATTAGAAGACCATATTGCATACTTAAGAAAATTAAAACAACTATGATATTGTAACTGTATTTATAATGGTGATATTAGTTCCAAAAAGATAGGACGTAATAATGGAAGAAGAAAATTGTGTAAAAACGCAAAATGAGCAAAACTACGGGTTATTCAATAAGTAAAGAAATAGAGATCTCTAGTTCAAAAAATATCCAAATAAGAAGTGCGATACTTTTAAAATCATAAGTTGGCATCCCTGTCATCGATTTAAAACGGCTGCTTCTCAACAATTTCAGTATACATACAAAGAATTAAAATGTTCTTTAAAATTAAATTTGAATTAATTTTTTTCATTTTAAAGATTTCTTTTTGTTTAACTTCACTTTTGTGCCAGCAACGAAAAAGTGAAAATCAATGTGCAAAACTGACTCAAATAACGAGACGAAGACGAGTCTTTGCTACTGGCATAAACAAGCTAGTAGAGTGATGGGACAAGAGCGAAAAAATTGTAACAAAGGATTATATCGAAAACTAGGTAAATTGTGAAATGTATTAAATAACCCATACTAAAACAACAGCCGTTTGTCTCTTTACTTGTTGAATCACCCTTGTATATTCTTATTTCTTCCTTAATCTGGGAAATATTTGAAAACTTGTTCACGACTATATCTTCTAAATAGCAACGAGTCTCGCCGACTGCATACGTTTCTATCTATGCACATATGTGTATGGTAGTGCACGTGCATAGCCATAAGAATGTGAATGAAAAGAGAAGCTACACGGAACACATAGGCAAGAGGAATAGAGCATCATATCCACTTTTAGCTACATTGCTCATTACGACTGACATCAGCTGTATTATATTCCTGAAACTTTCTTACCTTCCTGTTTTCAAACGCATCCCTCTTTGTTATGTATCTAGCAAATTACACATCTAAAAGAATTTGCTTGAATAAACACAATGTAAATAAAGTTTGAAATGTTCGCTCTGTATTTTAACCCTCCGTAGGTAAATATATCTGACGCTCCGTAGGTCCAATTTTTTTTCACCGTTCTAGGCTTTAAAGAAGCCCAAAAAAATTCTGGGATACTTATCGAAGTCTCTACTACATTATACAACTGTTCGTTCAGTTTAATATTTCGAACTTTTTGCAATAAAAATAAAAATTCTTTCTGAAAAAATACAAGAGTGATATTTGGCTTGGGTCAACGATAACCCAAGTTACCAACGGAGAGTTAAGTACTAATTGAAAGTATTGAATTGAAGATACCAATTCGTTTTGAATTTTGATTTAAAAATCGAAAAGAAACTTTGTTACAAACGATATTTTTAAATTTGTAACGATATTCGATATGACAAAAGAAGAGAGTACAATTGTAAAAAAAAGTTTTAAGCAAATTATTCGACATGCAAGAATACAGAGTAACGTAAGTGTCGTTATATCAAAACATTTGACTCCTATTATGAATCATGTAATACAATTAGTCATTTTTATTTTTGGAAATGCGATTTCTTACTGAACAGTGAATAATATGGAATAGAGAAGTGCAAGAAATATATCAGTTGTAAAAGAAAAAATGTTTTTCCAAAATATACGAGAGCAGTACTGAATGATACATTTATATGTATTCACAAGTAATCTATTATAAAATTTCATTAAAATTAAGCAATCTATTATACGATTACTAATAATCTGTTACAAAATTATAGATTAATAGTCTATTATAAAATTTCATGAAAATTTCAAATTAAGAATACAGTTATATAAATTTACATATTTCACATTGTATACTGCATATTTATATTTTGCAAAAAGGAAGTACAATTATTTTTCAACGACGAATACACGTAAAATTTATATCCAAAACAATAAGCTGTTTACTGGAAACATCTCAAAAGAAAAGGATGATAACGTAACATTCAAAGGCAACAATAAACTTCCAAAGTAAGAATGCTCGTTACGTGTGAGAATAGAAATCTACCTCGGCGTAGGCTGTGATGTTGGATCGATGCTGGTATTGGTATAGGTGCAGCGTCTATGACATCATCGATGGCGTAATCACGAAGACTATGATCCATGACACAGATTAAATGTTTAAAGTAGTAGAAGAAGAAGAAGAAGAAGAAGAAGAAGAAGAAGAAGAAGAAGAAAAAGAAGAAGCTCGAGTTTGGAGGAGATAAACGGTTAACTTAGAGAAATCATTTACTCCCTAACAATTATACTACCATAATTACACGAATTTATAATATTTGAATATAATTTAACAAACCAGTTTAAAATATTCTTTTGCTTTCTGTATCAAGATGTCCTAGGAACAGTTATTTACTGCCTTTATTAACTACTGTATATCGTATGTCTGAGATTTCGTGGAATTTAAATCTATACAGGGTGTTCGCATTATTACCTACTAGCCAGCGTTTTTCTCGTAAATGGTAAGTGCTAGAAAAAAATGAAAAAGGAACAAGTTTTGCAGTTTTCTATGACTAACACAATAGCATATATCAATTTTTTATATTTGCCATATTTTTCAGAAAAACGAAGATGACCTTTAATTTCTTTTTGGTATGGAATGCTGCATATTTTCTTCATGTCATATGAAAACGTGTATCAGGACGAATTTATCAGAAATGAAAGAAATATTTCGAATATTACGTATCAATGTTTTTACAAGTATACTTTTCTTTTTTTTTTTGACAAGGCTACAGATATTCAATATTACCTTCCTTCCTTGTACAAGAATACAGATTTCAGCTCTATGAATTACATTTTATGTAGCTTCTACTAACGTTATCCGAGATATTAATGCATATGATATGTATTCCCAACAAGATGGAGCTCCACCACATAATTGCAGAACCGTGAGAAATTACCTTAACAATACGTTTAAGGATAAATGGATTGGAACATACGGACC